AAAAAAAAAAAGAAAGCAATGGTGTGTAAATTTGTTTCACATTGTTTGTAAATTTATACACTTAAATACATTTTCTGAAGGTTGAGAGTAACACGTGGGAGCCCTTGGGGTGTAGCAGTTAAAGCGTTTGACTATGAACTGATAGACCTTTGGTTAGAAATGACTAGCTGCTCTGTGGGAAAAACATGCGGCAGTCTGCATTTATACAGATTTACAGCCCTGGAAATACTAGGGGGAAGTTCTATTGCTTAAGCAACATTGTCCAATTGGGTTGATGGCAGCAGGTTTGGTATGGGTTTTTACTAGGGTAAAATATCTACATACTTTGTTGAACCAGGGATTTTACTTTTAGAGAATATAATTTTTAAATGATCAGGGATGCAGACCAAGATTTATAGTCAAAGGGTTTAATCACTACATTATCTTTACAAGTGAAAAATTGGAAATAAATATTAACCGAAGGGGAAATGGCCAAAACAATTCTAGCATATCTAAAGTTTGTTATAAAGAAATTTTTTGGTGCCTTGGGAAGACATTCATGCTATATTGTTAAGGAGGGAAATTTTTGACGAAAAAACCCATCTTTCTAAAATATTAATGTTATTTCTGAAATGTGTGATTTTGAGGGGTTTTTGTCTTCCACATTTTTTGCATTAAGCACATTTTTTTCTAATTAGAAAAAGCAAAGGATCCTATGTATTGCCCTTATTAAATTTTAGTCATAATTTTATATAGTTACAATTGTATAACTGTCATATCATCTACTTATTATATTATAATATCTTGTATTATAACTGTGACATTGTTATAATTTATAATGATAAAAAGTATAGTAATTTAGAAGGGTTATCTATTGTCTTTAAAGGGTAGTCATCGTCACTGAAAGAGCGTCAGCTTTTGGTGCCATTCACGGAACCCGACCTGTGGGTGGCGATCCCTTTGGGGGGCGAACGACCCTTTCACAGGGGTCACCTAAGACCATAGGAAAACACATTTCTGATGGCTTTAGGAACCGCGACACTGCTCCTCTATCCTTCTCCAGGCAGGTCCGCCCACATGCAGACACGCCCACATGCAGACACGCCCACATATGAGTACCTACCTGTTGTGAAGACTCTTAGCCATGCTACACCATGCTCCAAGACAAAATTCATTTATTTGTAACTAGAAAAAAATGTTTCACAATATATAATTACATGCTGTTTTTGTGATTATTCACTATGCTTTAATTATGTTCCATTTGTAACAATGAAAATACATCCTGCATATCAGATATTTACATTGTGATTCATAACAGTAGCAAAATTACAGTTATGAAGTAGCAATGAAAATAATGTTATGGTTGGGGGTCACGGCTACATGAGGCACTGTATGAAAGGGTTGAGGCATTAGGAAGGTTGAGAACCGCTGTAATAGAGGATCCCATATCTTTAAGTGCAGGGGTGTTAGAAATAATTGCTTGACTTTGTATCCAGTGGGAAATTTATCTGGGAACTTTGTATCTGGGAATTTTGTAACAGCTTGTACGCCAAGTTGAACATTAACTTTCTTATTTTTTTGAAACAACTAGAAAGAAAGCAGGCTCCCAGCAGGCTTGAGAGCTCGCCGAAACAGCCGACAGGAAAAATGAAGCTTCCTATTTTCATAGCAGATGCGTTCACAGCAAAGGCATTTCGTGGGAATCCCGCTGCTGTTTGCCTCCTAGAAAATGTAAGTACCTGGTTTTGAAGTGCGGTACTTGAAAGTCTAGATTCCCATAGAACCAACGATTATTTTTAAAAAATCAGACCCTGTTCGTTTCTCTCTTTGGCTTATGTCGCAAATAGATTTTGACTCAATGATACGACGACGAGTGCTTATACCTGGTAGTGGGTTGCCGTGGCGACAGTCCTGACGCATGACACCCCCATGCATGCAAAGTTGTACAGCTCTGTTGGGTTCGCAAGGCTGTGACCTTCCAAACCAGATGCCAGGGCTGTCTTTTGAGGGGCCTCTGGGCGGGTTCACACTGCAAACAGTCTGGCACTTAACTTTGGGCCACCCAGCGCCCCCACACTAGGTGCAGTCAAGTGAAATGAAGATTCCTATAGAGAAGAACTAGGCCTCCCTTTGAGGCGCTGGGTCTTTGCTTTGTTAATGAGAATGAGATTAGCTGCTGAGTCCTGAACCCCTTCTTGCTAATGCAGGGGTGTGGCTTGGCTTGGTGTCACAGTGAGGGACCTCATGGGGTCGCTCCATTCCTCTTCATGAACCTCCTCAGGGCCAGACCCCGGAGGATCCTTGGCAATTCTGGTGGTCAATTTTAATGATACATTTTAGTTATAGAATAAGATGTGACATATGTAGTTGTAAATTGCTTAAATGTCTTATCTCTTAGATTATATACATACTAACAATATTGCTTTGTAAGAGTCTTTCTACATTGAATTACATGGTAGGTAACTCAGCCAGAGCCCTTTTTGATTTTTCGCCTTTTTCTTTAATTAGTTATTGATATTGGATCACAAATACTAGTCACCATAATATTGTAGCTAATACAAAGTCAGTGCCTACACCAACACCAGCAGCAAGCAGCAAAACTAGCAGTGCATGCTTAGATAGCGCATGTAGAACAATGCAGGTGATGCAAAGCGGCCTTATAACTGGTTAAGAAAGGAAGCTCTGACTGGGGCACATTAGCAGGGTCAGAAGCAAATTAGCATAGAGTTTGAACCTTGGGGATATATTGGTACACCTAGATCTGGGCTTACAAAAATATATATATATTTGTTATAACTAACTGCAGGGATTTTTTCATGAAAAATAACGCATTTCTGCATACTACACAAACATTTTATGGACAGTCACTCGGATCTCACTTACTCTGCAAGCTACACTTCTGCATATGCCGAGTGATGATGCCACTGGGCCGACATCTCAAAACTGGGATGAACCAAATTTGTACACTGTGGGTACCGGAAATAAGAAAGAAAACAAGGAAAATTACAGGTCAGTGCCCTACTAGAAATGAAGTCTCCTTCTTGTTAAACAAGGGCAATGCCATGTTGCAAATCTCTTGATCAGTTAAGTCAGAAACCATGGCACCCTGTTCAAAAATGGCGGCTGCCTGTGTGGCTTCAAAGGCATCTTGTTCTCCAGAGTCTTGGCAATAATCAGTCTCCCACAGCTGGTAATGCTTCTTTCCAGTCTCCCAGGCCAGGAATTCTTCCTACAACTTTCTGTTTTGGTTATCGTTCCAGGCACCAATATTTGGTCCTGCCCAGTTTCACATTGTCAGCCACGTCTGAATTAATTTGAACTGATTCAAAGCCCTCATTCTGTGCGACTGGATATGGCCAACATTGAATTTAGCACAAAGTCTTCTGATTGAATATCATGAGCTTTACCTATAGTTCATTCAAAGAATCGCGCAAAAGTTTGGTCTTGGCTGCTAACCAAATATTTGGTTTGGACCCACCAGCTGCTCCACCAGCTACTCCACTGGAGAAAGATAAGGCAGCCTGCTTCTACAGGGAATTCCTCTAGGGGAGTTCTACTCTGTCTTACAGGGATGCTCGGAGCCACAGTTGACTTCATGGCAATTGGTTTGATTTAGACAATTAGAAAAGCTTTTCAGGATCAAGAAAAGGAGATTTGCAAGTAATTAAGGAGATTGGTAGGAGGAAGGTAGCCCTGCTGGCCTAGTGGTTACTCATTGGGCTGCTAACCACAAGGTCAGCCGTTTGAAACCACCAGCTTCTCCATGGGAGAAAGAGGAAGCTCTCTACTCCCGTAAAGAGTTGCAGTCTTGGAAACGTACAGGGGGTAGTTCTATCCTTTCCTACAGGGTTGCTATGAGTTGGCAGCTTCTCGATGGCAATAAGTATCTATAGTGCACTATCTACAGAATTTAGCTTACTGTAACTAACTCATTTTTATGACATTTCGATTAGGATAGATTTTAACAAAGTAGTTAAACATGCCTTGCAGCTTGGGGCTCCTGAGTGATAGGAAACCAAGGTCAGGCATCTTTGCACTACAAGCCATTAGTGCAAGAATAGACTTCCCAAGAATTACTTTGGTAAGCAACTGATGATTTCTATTAAGTCATGTTAAGCTGGGCAAAGTGTGTGTTGGAACATTGGAGTGTAGTGAATCTCAACCTGGCCTGCACATTGCAATCCTCTGGAAAGCTTTCTAGACCAATTACAACAAAATCTCTGGGGGCGGGACCCAAACGTCATTGTTGTTTCAAGCTCCCCAAGAGATTCCAGCTTGCAACCAAGGTCAAGAACAGCTCTAGCTTTATGGATTTGTGTGAATAACTTAGTCCATAAAATGGTGATCAAGAGAGTCCTCATCTCACCTTTACAATGCATTCATTCTGTAACCCTGTAGCAGAGTGCAACCCTGCAATCCATACTTGGTACTTTCTCTCCATAAAGTGCAGAAAGTAATAAAGCTCACAGGCCTTAGCAAGGACAGTAACTAACTCACAAGAGGTTGCACAGCCACGAGTGAGAGAATAATTAACCAACAGATTCCAAATTGTGAACTTTCTTTAGAACCAATCTGGCAAGCATAAATCACTTCATGCCAAGGAATTGACGACATTGCTTGGTCAAGAGTTTTAGTACATTTGCCGTGTGTCTCTATGGAATTCCCTTGACTTATATATTCATTTTTAACCAGCTCAGCAGACATGGCATTATATCTCTAACTTACTCTGCTTACCTCCAGCTCCCTCACTAAAAACAGGCTTCAATGGGCTACCTATCTACCTAATTTTTCATTCATATGCCTATTTATATCTTTTGTTGTTATTCTTTTTAACCTATTTATATCTTATTTAGGAAACTTTCCTTTGAGTTGCAATCCATACTGGCAATGTGATTAACCAACAGCTTGTTGTTTGAGCCCATCAGCAACTCTGTGGGAGAGAGATATGTCAGTCTGCTTCCATAAGGATGTGTAGCCACGGAAACCCCAAGAGGCAGCTCCACTCTTTCCTCCAGCAGCTGTGAGTCAGAACTGACTCAGTGGCAATGTTACGATTATTTCTTTAATTTATAGGAAGGACACTTGGTGGCCTTCGGTGGCTGACACTTTGCTGTTAACTAAAATGTCTGTAGTTCAAATTAACCAGCCCCACTGTGGGAAAAGGAGGCAGAAGTCAGTTTCCAAAAAGACTTACAGCCTTGGAAAGTGTATGATACAGCTTTACTCTGCTCTGTAGGGTGGCTGTAAGTCAGAATGTCCTTGACGACTAGGGGTTTAGTTTGACTGGAATCAGTATGTGAGCCGGTGTAAGTCTTTTCTCCCATAGAGTGGCTGGTGGGTCTGAACTGCCAACTTTCCATTGCACCATCATGGCTCCTTGTCTCCCTACCCAGTCAGATCTGACTCAAAGTGACACTAGAACTTCCCCTGTGGGTTTCCGGCACTATACCTCTTTATTTATGGATTTTTAAAAAACTCTTTATGGGTGTAGAAAGCCTCATGTTTCTTTTGTGGTGGTTTCGAACCGCTAACCTTGCGGTTTGCAGCCCAGTGTGTAATCCACTACTCCACTGGGGCTGCTTTTTGGAAGCACTAAACTGAATGGATGAATGCGTGCATAGATAAAATTGAATGAATGTGAAAAATATAATCAATTAATGATGACAAAATCTCTCTCTACGTTTTCTAATTTATCAACAAGTATTGACTGATTTTCCACAGTCCTTGTGGCAGAATAGAGGGGCGGATATGCACAGGGAGTGTGACCTTTGAGTTCTTTGATGGAGTTGGGGAGACCAGGTATCCATTATCACCACTGGGAACAACGGCAGGTGTTCTATGGTTTCAGTGATGCGCGGTGTGCAGAGAACATCATAATAGGAAATCCAGGTGCCGCAGACAGAATCTCCCATTTCTTCTAAGATGGTTATAAAACTTTGCACATCTGCCTTGTTCTCCTTTGCTGGAATCTACCTACCTATAGCAAAGGGAGAGACAAATGAACAAAGATAAGGCACAGCGTCATATTTGTTGTCAGTTCCAACGCGTAGCGATCCTGTTTACAGCAGAATAAACCATCACAATTGTTTGAGCCCATAGTTGCAGGCACTGTAAGCGATGGTGTCAACCCATCTCACGGAGGCTTTTTCTCTTTTCCCTGAGCTTCTGTCCCTTACCAAGCATAATGTCATTTCCCAACAATCAGTCTTTCCAGACAACATGTCCAAAATACATAAGACAAAGTTTTGCTCACTTCTGATGCGTATCCTGGCTGGACTTCTTCCAAGATAGACTTGTTTGCTCTTTTGGCAGTACCTTCAACATTCTTCACCACATAATTGAAATACATCAATTCTTCCATCTTCCTTTGTCAATGTCCATTTCCCCCATGCACCTGAGGTGACTGAAAACAGCGTGGCGTGGGTCAGGCTCACCTTAGTCCTCACAGCGGTATCCTTGTTCTTCTGCACTGTAACCAGGTCTTGTGCAGCAGCTCTGTCCAAATCAGTGCAACTCTCGATCTCTTGACTGCTGCTTCTGGGCATGGACTGTGGATCAGATCCTTGACGACTTTAATCTTTTCTCTGTTTATCATGATGTTGTCTATTGGTCCAGTTGTGAGGATTTTTGTTTTCTTTCTTTAAAAAAAAATCATTTTATTGGGGCTCATGCAACTCTTATCACAATCCATACAGCCATCCATTGAGTCAAGCACAGTTGTACATTTGTTG